CCGCCCCCTCGCGGGGCGCCGCCACCTGCGCTCCCGGCCCGCCCCTGCGGCGCTCCCACGGCCAGAAGGCGGCCCCGCGGATCGCTGGGTGGCGCTGCGAGCGGGGTCGGGCCTCTGCGGTTCCAGCCTGAAGTCCCCGAGTTGTGGTCGGAGAGCTGGACCTCTCCGAGCGTCAGATACTTTGTCACAGTGGTGATGCCAAAACACACTTAGCGGATACGGAGGGAAAAGGAGGAATGAACGTATGGAGCTACTGTTACCACGAAGAAGAATGCATTGTAGACTTGATTTAATGGGTTTTTGTCAATAAAGTGCCTGATAGATTTGCGACAGTCTTATTATTTATTAATAGTCAATACCAGCTGCTCCCGCCAAATCAGAATCTCGTCTCTCCTTCTGGGGTCCCAAGGGCTTTCCCGGGCTGGTCTCTCTTTGTTTCAGATTCACCCCTCTGCCCCTCGCTGCCCAATTACCTGGCGCTCTCCTGGGGCAAAGGCTGCATTATGTCCCTGAACAAAAGCGCCAGCGCTGGTTGCTTGTGCCCAGCTCATGCCAGTTCCCGGTCCAGTGGATGAGGACAAGGGCGCTTGCTGTGTGTGTCGTCCACCTTCCTCGGGCCGGTGAAACCTGACTTGGCACATATGGCCATGTAAAATCACTGCTCATTCCCGTGCTTATTTTTATTTACTTTAATATTAAGTGACAACTTCCCATTTTGTAGCTCGAAAATTTGCCAATGTAGTCAGTCAAGTTCAAAAGTGGCTCCTTTTGAGAATAGCTCAATGCTGACAAAATGAAGTAATACATGAAATTGGCTGTCATAGCTCAGATGCCATTTCTTTCAGACATGCGATACTTTTACTTTCCCTTAGTACCACTGATAAACAGAAACTACTCACTACATACTTGGTGCTAGGAGGATTCAGATCTAAGTAAAAGCGAGTATTCCCGCCCCTTGTGGGCATCCAACTTCTTTTGTAATCGAACTAACTCAAAGGCAGCAGTTGGAACCTACAGTCCTTGCATACATCACCAGAGCTCCTTGCATTGTTTATTGTTGCTGTGCACGAAGTGAGTCAGAAATGACTTAAAGTTGGCTCTCAAGTAAATTTTTAGAGGCAATAAATCGCACAGAAGGAGATTGCCTTTCCTTCTCCATCAGAGCAATTGGTAGATTCGAACCACGAGTCTTTGGAATTTTAGCATAGCTGTTTATAACACTAAAACTGTTAAGTTGGAACAACTCACAGCTGACCATTTCGATAGGGGTTTTTTGAGGCCATGAATCACACTGGAGGAGATTCTCCATTTCTCTCCCTTGGAAGGAATTGTTGATTTCAAACTACCTGCCTTTGGGTTAACAGCTCCTCTGGACTAGCCACCAATCTATTTACTTACTTTACACAAGATAAAAACAAACAAAAACACCCCCCCCCCCACTGCCTGTTCCAGCGCAAGGGAGATATGGTGGCCCACTGAGTAAGGAGTCGGACTGCCAATCCAAATCCTTGAGAGAAAGATGGGCAATCTTCTAGAGGGTCAGCTATGAGTCAGTTCCAAGTTGATGGCAATCACTTGGGATTTTTATTAAAAATAATGGGATCATTCATTGAGTTTCTGAGGCTGAAACAATCATAAATAGGCAGATTGCCTCATATATCTCTCCAGCAAAGTAGTGGTGGATTTCACCCTCTGAGGTTTTGATTCAATGATCACTATCAACTTTTCTTTCTCTCCTGTAAATGTGCTAAAATTACCATTCTCAAATGATAAGTATGAAACTCCAAAAATATAATACAGCCAAGTGAAACCAGCCTCATAGGAACAAATACGGCATTATTATAAAAGCAGAAGGATAACTTGTTGTTGTTATATGCCGTCGAGTGGCTTGCAACTCACAGCTACCCTATGTACACCAGCTCTGAACCCTGCTCTATCTTATGCTAGCCTTATTGTCTCTGACACATCTACCTTCACTACCCCAGTCACTGAATCAATCCTTCTTATCAAGGGCCTTCCTCTTTCGTGCTGTCCCTCAACCCTTCCAAGCATAATGTCTCTAAGGACTCGTCCCTTCTTGCAACATGCCCAAATTATGTCAGACAAAGCCTCAGAATCCTTGTCTCCAAGGAGCAGCTGTTTGTTCTCCTGGCAGTCTATGGTATATTCATTCAGTACTCTTCTGCAGAACCATAGCTCAAAGACATATATTCTCTATCATCCCTAGTCATTGTTCAGGTTTCTGATGCATAACAAGTAATTGCGAAAACTTTGGCCTGGACTGGCCGCACCTTAGTCTCCAGACTGACATCATTGCTTTCCAGAACTCTGAAGAGGTCCCTGACAGCAGACTTTCCCAAGTGCAATTTGTCTTTTGACTTCCTGGCTGCTGGTATGTACCAAGAGTGTTGATTGTGGAGCCAAGCAAACTAAAGCTGTTAACAATCTCAATCTCTTCTCCATCCATCATGACGCTGCCAGTCGGTCCAGTGGTGAGAATCTTTGTTCTCTTGATGCTGAGCTTCAATCCATATTGAAGGCTGCAGTCCTTGACCTTCTGCAGCAAGTGCTTCAGGTCCGCTTCTGTTTCAGCAAGCAGGGTTATGTCATCTGCATAACACAGGTTGTTGATGAGTCTTCCTCCAATCCTGATGCCACATTTCTCCTCATAGAGCCCAGCCTACTGGATGATCTGTTCTGCATATAGATTGAAAAGGTATGGAGACAGGATACATCCCTGGCATACGCCCTTCCCAATTTTGAACCATGCAGTGTTTCCTTGTTCTGTTCTGACGACTGCCTCCTGGTCCTAGTATAGGTTTCACAAAGCATAATCAAGTGTTCTGGGATTCCCATTCATCTCAGAGTTGTGATCCACACAGTTAAATGCCTATGCACAGTCAATGAAACACAGATAGACCTTCCTCTTTTATTCTCTACTTTCAGTCAAGATCTGTCTAAAGTTAGCTATAATATCTCCAGTACTATAACCTCTTCTAAACCCAGCCTGCACATCTGGCAGTTTTCTGTTGATGTGCTGCTCCAGTCTTTTTAGGATAATTTTCAGCAGAATCTTGCTTGCATGTGATGTTAATGATATTGTTAGATAATTTCTGTGCTCTGTCAGATCACCTTTCTTTGGAATGGGAACAAATATAGATCTCTTCCAGTCAGTTGGCCAGGTGGTTGTCCTCCAGATTTCTTGGCACAACTTAGTGAGCTCATCCAGGACAGTATCTGGTTGTTGAACTATGTCAACTGATATGCTGTCAATTCTGGAGGCTTGTTTCCCCCCAATTCTTTCAGAGTAGCTGAACTTCTTTCTCAATCACTACAGGCTCTTGCTTAAATGTTGCTTCATTAAATTATTCTGTGTCAGATAATGCCTTTTGGTACAATGGCTCTGTATACTTCCATCTTCTTTTGATGCATCCTGCATTATTTAATAGTCTTCCCAAAGTATCCTTAAACATTTTGGAACTCGAGGCTTGAATTTGTTCTTCAGTCCTTCAGCTTAAGACATGCTGAGAGAGTTTGGCCCTTTTGATTTTGCACATTTCATTATAATATTTTGTTTGTCTTCCTGTGCTATCCTTTGAAATCTTCTGTTCATATCCTTAATATCTTGATTTCTTCGCTTTGCTTTGGCTTTTTGGTGCTCTTAGCACAATATTCAGAGTCTCATCTGACATCAGTTTTGGACTTTTCTTCCTCTTCTGTCTTTGTAATGATCTTTTGCATTCTTCCTGGATTATATTCTTGATATCCTCCCACAGCTCATCTGGTCTTCACTTATTGGTGTTCAAGGCCTTAAATCTGTTCCTGAGATGTTTTTGAAATTTGAGTGGGGTAGACTCAGTGTCAAATTTTGGATCCTATGAATTTGATTTAATTTTCTTTAACTTCAACTTGAACTTGCATATGGGTAGTTGGTTGTTTGTTCCACAATCAGCACCTGGTCTAGTTTTTACAGCTGATGTTGAGCTTCTCCAGTGATTCTTTGCACAGAAGTAATCGATCTGATTCCTATGCATACCACCAGGTAAAAGCCATGTGTATAGCCTGCATTTGTATTTCTTTTTTTAAAAAAATTTATTTTATTAATATTTGTGCGTGTACCGTCAAATCAGATCTGACTGGTACAGGAGGAGATTGTCCCTCCTTCTCCAGCAGAATATCTAGTGGATTTGAACTGTGCACCTCTGGGATTATGCATTTGTATTTCTTATAAAAAGTATGTGCAATGAATACATTGTTGATTGTACAAAATTCTATCATTCTATCTCCAGCTTCATTTCTGTCACTAAGTCCATGTTTTCCAACTACTGACACTTTTTCTCTGTTCCCAACTTTTGCATTCTAGTCACCTATTATTATTAATGCATCTTGATTGCATCTCTGACTGCAAAAGTTGGTAGAAATCTTCTATTTCCTCCTCTTTGGCTCTAGTAGTTGGTTCATATATTTGAATGATAGTGGTATTCACTGGACTTCCTTGTATGCATATGGGTGTTATCTTGTCACTCATAGTATCGGTCTATTTTGGATAACTAGTTAGATCTGTATTGGAGAGAGGAAACCAAGTTTCTCCTTGGGGACTAGGATTTTGAAGCTCCGACTCACATACTTTGGGCACATTGCCAGGAGGGACAGTCCTTGGAGAAGGACATCATGCTTGGAAGGGTGGAGGGACAGCAACAGAGAGGAAGACCCTGGATGAGATAGATTGATTCAGTGACTTGGGTAAAACAGGAGTAAGTGTGTGCAGAGTCAGTGAGACTAGCTCAGG